GATAAGGACAAAGGGAAAGTGGACCAGCAGGGCTCCAGACTCTGGATCTGGTGTAGCACATTGGGATCTGCTGCTTTTGGACCACACATGCTGGGCAGAGCTGAGACCAAGGCAAAAATTTGGTGTCTGTGGCAGGAGGCTGAGGCCAAATGGCTGTCATGTACTCAAAAACTTGGCTGATGTCTGAGTGCATATCTATGTTGTTGTTTACACTTCACATGTAAGTGTGTATAACACACCAGTTTTTATGATTCAGTATTGGAATAAATTGCAGTTTATAAACTAGGTAAATCCAGAATCTAGATCCTTCATGAAACAGGTCAGCTGTGGGAAATAATTTCTGTGGAACATGATCACAGGAGCTAGGTGAAGACGAAGAAAATGCAGCCAAAACATCTACTGCAGCTGTTTAAGATCCTGCAGTACTAATGCAGGGGGTGCTCCTGAGGGCTTTTCTGCAATCAGGCACTTTTGGGACCTGGCATAGAGCTCCATCCAAGTGCTGCATTTTTCATCGCTGTTAAGATGCAGCATCGGTGCAGCGAACACACAGACATTTCGGCGATGCTGCAGTCTGCAGGCTTGGCATTCTTGCTCTGACACCAGCAACCTGGGATTTGTTCTCAGTATCAAAACAGGTTGTAATTAAGGCTTCTGTCCATTATGTAAGAAATGATTTTTGGCAGGGTGCCTGTTCCCGAACCTTGCGTATCCGTGCGAAGGGAGGGAAGTGGCCTGCAGGAAGTGTCTGGGACACGGTGTCTGTGGTGAATAAGACAGAGGAAATACACAGGTCTCAATTCTCTGCTGCCCTGTAGCTCCAAACGAGGTAGTCAGTCAGAGCTCCCAAGGGCTGCCCTGGACTCATGAATTTACAAAAAACTTGATGTGAGGAGCTAAGTCTGGTCCATAGTGACCAGCAGCACCAAACGGTGTACGGAGCGGGCATGTGTGGAGATGGACCATTGTGCAACATGTCTGGGAAAGATAAAATACTTCCATTGTCACTTGACAAAAAGAAGTGCTTGTCATTAATCAAGGTAATGTAAAAGATTCCTCTTGGCAGTGGCCTCTGAAATTCCTACTTTGTCATTGATGCTATGAAAGCATGTATATTGAAGGTCCCATGTAAAGCTGACCACCTTCCTTCTTCTGAGCCTGCAGAGAGTAGGGGAGGGCTCTGGGTGTTGCTTCCTTACAGCAAAACATGCAGTGCACACATTGCAGACAGGTATGCTCTGGTTTCAGTCCTACCAGGCATAGACTTTCTATCCATTTCTTTTTCCAGTGTCCAACAAGCATCATTTTATGGACAGCAACTTGCTCTACCAGTGCAGAATGAATTTCCGACGGCGGCGGCGGTTAATGGAGCTCCTCACTGAGAAATCTCGCTTGATGCCAGAAAGTCATGACAGCCCGTTTTGCCTGCGCAAACAGAACCATGACAACAGAAAACACACCAGTTTTCTCTCAGGTGACTCATCGACTGTACTGCTGTCTGTAGGGCAGTGCCATGGGATGTTAAACAATCCTTTCTTGGCCAAGGGGATCAGTGCTTATCTGAAAAAAGCAGGGCAGGGTATCGTGTATCCCTGTTCATAGGGATTGTCCATTCACTTGATTTACCAAATCTTTAGCTCCTTGGAGTGGTTTTGCACCCGTATCAATAGCATGTCAGATGCTGATCAAAAATCAGTGTCCATGAATGAACTGTTTAAAATGCCTCCAAACCCAAAGTATAGTTATATATTCTATATGGAGTTTTTGAGAAGAGAAGAAGTGAGAGGAAGGGGTCCTTCAGGGTTTGCTGTTGTCCTGGTTTTTAGCTGAAATGGAGTTGGGTTTCTTTTTAGTAGCTAGAATAGCACTGTATTTTGGTTCCAGCATGGGATTTGTCATGATTATGTACAGCAAGAACCGAAAAGAATTTCTGTTATCTAGCAAAAACTGAAAGAATAAATGGGAACTAGAAGGAAAAATGAAAAAAATTATTTCCCTATATTGAAATGCTTCCTAGAAGTTACTGCAATGGGAGCAGTTCAGCCATTGTGTGAGCTGCAGTATATGTGAGTAGATCATATTCATGCAGTGACTCTTCTAACTATGGAAAACACACTAACCCCTTCTCAATGTTGTCAGTGAAAATGTGGCTTATTGCTATTGTTTTAAAGAAACCAGGGAAATGGGTTTAACAATTGATACCAGTTACTTTTCTCTCTGTATTTCCTCTCTGTTTGTAGTGAGTCCCACCAAGGAGATAAAGATCGTGTCAGCAGTACGGAGGAGCAGCATGAGTAGCTGTGGCAGCAGCGGGTACTTCAGCAGTAGCCCAACGCTCAGCAGCAGTCCCCCCGTGCTCTGCAACCCCAAATCCGGTAAGCACCAGCACAGGAGCCAGGGCGCAGACATCTGTTTGGGGAGAAGGTGACATGAAGAATGCCTAACGTCTCATCTAAGTTTATCTTTTCAAAGAGAGATGAAAAATTCACAATGTCACGGGTTTTGTAGTCCAGAGGGTACTATAATCATCCTCTAGCCTTGCTGAACACAAGCCAGATGTCTGCCTCCAATAATCTCTGCACCAAGCCCATAATTGTGGTTTGAGCTGCAGTTTATCTCTTAGGAGGACATGCAGTCAGAGATCCAGATTTGCCTCATCATTGCCAAGCCCTGAACCGGTTCAAATCTCCTCCTAGAGACATTCCTTTGGTGCAAGTCAGAGGAGAATTTAACCATCCAGTGGCCACTTGGGTTGCTATGAAATAACACAACTCAGAAAACAGCAATCTCTAAAAAAAAGAGGCAGCATTGTTTCAGCCTGTCAGGGACCATTTCAATGTTTTTGTTTGTTTAGGTCTTGCACCAGTCTGTTTAGGAAGGTAAAAGTAGTGCTGAAGCTTATTTTCCTTTTGAAACGATTTCCTATCCCACGCTGGAAGGTTGAACACACCCATTCTTCCACAGTTCACTTAAAATTGTTTCTTACTGTACATCTGGGAAGGGGAAAACGGACCAGGATAGATATTGTTTCAGCCTCTCCGTTTTCCTCAGAAACAGCCCTGAATTTCAAAGCAGAGTCCGTGCTGCCCTTTGTGCTCCTTATTATTTCAAATTTACCGGGTCACTGCCAGCAGCATGGGGAGTGTTGTTCAGAGGGGGAAGGCCTCGGTGGATACATGTAAGCTTTGCTTTCAAAGGGATGCTGGCATTTCAAGTGATTACTAGAGAGTGCCTCGAGCACTATATGAATCCTGTTCAAAACATTGACCATTTACTCCAGAGATGAGGGAGCTAAAGCGCATTTTTTTTGCTGTGCAGAACGGCCATCAGAAGGAAAGGTATCGTTATGGGAGCATTTTCTTTCTTTCTTCTTTTATCACATTTTCTTCCCTCTCCTTAGGCTCTACTGGAATTCAGTATGGGGCTCTAAATGAAAATAATTTGAAGGACTCAGTAGGATTGCATGCCCAGAAGCCACAGCCCCTTACACCAGACCTGCTGTGCAGCTGGGGTAATGCCCTCAGTGCTGGTGGCCATTGCATCCTTGGAGTACACTGCTGCTGGGCATTCAGCAACTTCCAGTGTGTTAATTCCTATATGCAGTGGGTTTGCATCTATACGAAGAGTACCACAGCATCATGTTTTAGTAGAATATTTCTCAGGTATACTTCCCAGAAACTCTCTGATAGATTTTGTATGGTGAACTCTTTGGCCCCAGTACATCATTACTTACATCCTGGAAAATTTTCTGGGACAGATAAAGCAGCATTCATGTGCTGACAATAAATGTGTATGTTATCTGAAGTGTGCTGACTATTCCATTCATTTATGGCTCTGATTATATATGAATTGTCAACTCATGAGTAGTGAGAACAAGTTTATTTTAATGCAGCTGATTACACAACACTGGAAGAAAAAGGATAGGCTGATGTTGCCCTTGCATAAATTCTTTATTTTTTGAAAAAAATTCTCCCTTAGGACTAGTTTTCAAACTCTGAATAGCTTTAAAAGACTCATATTTGAAAGAAGACAGCAACAGACTTATACACGGACTTATTTTTGAGAATTATACAATTACTGGCCATGTAGGATAATTTCTTCCATAGCGCAAGTACAGATCCACACATCATCTCACAGAGGTTAACATGAGGCTGTCAGATGTAAATGTTATGGAGGAGTTCTTAATCCTCTGCCGGACTATAAAGTGATTTTTTTCACAAATAGTTTCCTGCTGTCCAGACTCAGAGCATGTCACTGAACTGCATGCTCATAAACACAAGGCAGAGGTATATTTATTGTCAGATGAGTTCTCTTGCAGGCAAACACTTAAAAAAAAAACAGGTCATGACTTGACCAGTCAGGTAGAAAAACAATCATCAAACAAAAGACATTTCTAGAGGTATAATGAAGGGAGGCATGCAAGGGAGTCTTGTGGATGATTTGCTTGATTCTGACTTGTTGAATGAGCATAATCATTCAGGTGGTTTTTTGTTGACCAGGCATGCTCTGCAAAGTGTAATGCTGGCTAAATCCATGTCAAAAGTAAAAACCATCCATATTGGTTTGTATGCTAGAATTCTCACTGCTCAATGAATGTCATTAAGAAACTCATTAATGTCTTCAAATACCATCTGTGGTACCAAGTACCAATCCCCATTACATAGCAAGGCAAAGGGGAACCACCTGCAGAAATTCTCTAGTATTTCATTTCATGTAAAATGCCAACCAGCTGTAGGCTGTTCCTGGATAACATGGGGCTAGTTGTCTGTGCCTACCACTGCAGAAATCTCTTTGCTGGGATAATTCCTGAACCAAGCAGAATTGTCTTACTACTTAATTCTGTTGATTCAAACCCGACTCAGAAGATGAAATAGCAGAGAGCACCCAACATGCACAGAGCGAGCCAGTAAGAAAAGCTGCTCCATGCCAGGGAGGTCGGCCACTTGTTTCAACACTGGACACAGGAACAACTGCTTTGGATGTTTTTGATAGTATTTAGTGGATTTTGATTGCAGACAGCAAATTCTGTTGGCTAAGTGCCCTGATTTCCCAAAGATCTTGTCATTTGTACTCAGAGTTATTTTGCAGTCTTTTCCTTGGCTCTTTTACTACTTTTGAGTAAGTCTGCAAGAACTGAAGGAGAGTATGGGAAGTGGGACCAAAAAGATGTTATATCTGAACACTATCTTATTTATTAGGAAAAACTCTAGAGGAATGCTTATATTGAATATACATTTATGTACCTCCACAGTATTAAAGCGACCTGTGACTGCTGATGAGCTCTTGATGCCTGGAGCCCCATATGTAAGAAAAACTTTTACGGTATGTCTCCAGTGTGTTTCTTTATTTTCTACATGCTGTATGCATAAGGTAATCCAAACAGACATTTTCTGATGGGATAATTAGAGCTTATTTGCATTTGCTAAGGTTTGTACTTTAAAATCCCAAACTCCATTATCGGTACTTCCACACATTTCAGATCTGATTCTGCACTTGTTTATCCTGTGTTCATGCCAGTGAAGTACTGCTGACATAAATGGTGTGTAAAATGACATAAAGCCAATAACATTTGTGTTATACAAACTCATCTAGACTTTGTGCTCCTAGTAATCCACTCCTTGGACTTCAGGAGTGGATTACCCAAATTGAAGTTTTCTACCGAGGTCTTTCTAGACTATGATGGGACAGAAATTTTGATTCATATTCAGTATTAGAGAAATCCTTTCTATAAAGACAGTTTTGAACCTAGTCATTGAAAGCATTGCTTTTTATAGCCTCCAGGTTCAACAAAAACAGTTAATTAAAAGCAAGAGGAATCATCTGAGTAGAGCCTTTCCCATGAGTGATATCACTGCCTGTACACAACATCTTTTACTATGTGTTGGAAGTACAGAGACATTGAAATTATGTCTTGAACCATATAGATGGTACCTCCTTGAATTTGACTGAGCTGCCTGAAGGTGATCACATCCATCTCATCTCCTTTCAGATCGTTGGTGATGCGGTGGGCTGGGGCTTTGTGGTGCGAGGCAGTAAGCCCTGCCACATCCAGGCCGTGGACCCCAGTGGGCCGGCAGCTGCAGCTGGGATGAAGGTGGGTTTTAAAAATGGGACTATTTATTGCGGGTATTTGTGCTGCTCAGTGAAGGTTTTGGGCTGCCTGTACTTGGGAAGTGAGGGATGCTTTGTTTCCAAGGTTGAGTATCTTTGTCTCAGTTTCAGGTGTTTGTGCACAGAGAGTTCTGCTGCCTTTCTCCACACTCTTGTTTCTTTTATTCTGTCCTTGAGATTCTTCAAGTCCCTTTTCCATGTGAAACTCATTTACCCTTTCGAGGTTGCTTTCTTCATATTTTCCCTTTTTTGGGTTTTGTGTTTGTTGGGATTTTTTTGTTTTTTTGTTTTGTTTTTTCTTTCTGGTTGGTTGACTGATTTTGGTGGTAGTGATGTTCTGGGTTTTTGGGGGGTTGTTTTTGTTATTTTCACCTTTTTCCACCTCTGCATAGTTTTATCTTCCCCCTTTACTTTGCAATTTATGTGACTGCTGTTATGCAGCTTATGGACTTTGCCTATATAGGAAGAAATACTTATTGAAAGTGAAGCTAGCATCACCTGTTGTTCTTTATAAAGAGTTAAGATTCAAAACATTTTGCAAAGAAGAATGTATGATATTTCCATATTTCATAAAAAGTTGAAATAGTTTCATACATGATTTAAGAATAAATAAATACACATTCCATGTGAAGGCTTTGGTACTGCTAATGCAGAGTCCATTGACTTACCTGCAGGTTTGGATCACATCCTGCATACATCTGTGAATTAACCACTGTCTTGTACAGTGGGAAAAATAAAAGCAAAGCATTATGCCCAGTACAGATAAAAGTAGGAAAGGGAAACTAGCTGCTACACCTACTCTAATGTCCAGACTGGGCCAGATACAAAGATTAAATTATCAGTTGATGTCATATTATGTAGTATGGCAACAATACAGATGAAGGTTTCAGATGTGGCCAGCAAGTTGAGGGAGGTGATTCTGCCCCTCTACTCCACTCTTGTGAAACCCCCGTCCAGTTCTGGGGCCCACAACATAAGAAGGAGATGGACCTACTGGAGCAAGTCCAGAGGAGGCCACGAGGATGATCCGAGGGCTGGAGCACCTCTCCTATGAGGACAGGCTGAGAGAGTTGGGGCTGTTCAGCCTGGAAAAGAGAAGGCTCCAGGGAGACCTTATAGCGGCCTTCCAGTACCTGAAGGGGCCTACAGAAAAGATGGGGAAGGGCTTTTTACAAGGACAGGTAGTGATAGAACAAGGGGTAATGGCTTCAAGCTGGAAGAGGGTAGGTTTGGATTAGATATGAGGAAGAAATTCTTCACTGTGAGGGTGGTCAGACACTGGAACAGGTTGCCCAAGGAAGTTGTGGATGCCCCCTCCCTGGAAGTGTTTAAGGCCAGGCTGGATGAGGCTTTGAGCAACCTGGTCTAGTGGAAGGTGTCCCTGCTGATGGCAGGGGGGTTGGAACTAGATGATCTTTAAGGTCCCTTCCAACCCAAACCATTCTATGATTCTGTGTATTCTAAATTCATCCCAGTTTGCCACAAATTTTCTCCTGCCCTTTAATTCATCTGCCTTTCCCATCACACTTGCCCCAGCTGCCTCTTGCCCATATATTCACACCCACCAAGATGGAGGCAGCACATGCTGCCACGACTCCAGGGATGCGCATCCTGCCCATCGCATGATGCCAGACCTGCCACAGCACCCTCCTTAGCAAACGCACTACATGGGTTTCTCCTCTCCGGATGCTGGTTTTTATTTGTTTGTTTGTTTTAAAATGAAACTTGGAAGAACATACTGTCTTTGAAATACTTACTTTTTTTGGAGTATGGGCAGGGAAACCCCTGGGAGGGGGAATGGCAGCTGCAGAGCCTGTTGGTGGAAGCAGCACCCTGACACATCCTGCTGGGAAACAGCTTGATTCCTGAGGCAGCTGGAATTTTTAATATGTTTTATACAATATCTAAATGTAATATACAGTTACAATTTTTATATGATGAGTATAATTTTCAAGTAGTAATCTTACCTAAAATTTAAAGGACTTAAATTTGAAAATAATGAATTTGTTCTTGTGTATGTTCTAGATCCTGAACTTGTTAGTTTAGTACTTTACAGCATCTTTTACTCTCTGAATACAGCAGCTAACAATATAGTACATCCATTCTGAAACCTAGCTTGTAAAAATAACACTGTGGTGTCATATGTGTAATCTTAGAGATTTAACCTCTGCACTTGGCAGCTTAGAGCTGAATACAGTAGGGCTTTGGCTTGTTTTTACTTTTGATTTCATGCTGGCAGCCCTGTGACTGCACACTAGGATGTTTTAGTTAAGCTGAGTTCCTTCATATTGCACCTCTGAAACTGGTTTTATGTACCAAATTATGTCCTTGTATCTTCCCTTCATGCTCAATATGTGCTCATGTACTCAGGGTTACAGAGGTTTAGCTGAACCATTCAAGACATGACTGTAAAACAGTCTGCTTCCCTGAGGGGAGCAAACAGTATTTTAGACAGTAAAACTGGAATATATTGCCTTGAATTTGCACAAAAACCGGATCTGATAATTTACAAAGGTGCTATCTTTATATAAAATCGCTTTTCAGAGCAGAATTGTACATAAAACATGATGGCCATATATGAGTCCCTGTTGAGACACCAAAATTGGTACTGCATTTTCAGAAATGCTGAATATCTTTAGCCCCTGGTGAGGAAATGCCAGTTTTCTTTGAAAATAAAGGTTTTTGTTAAGGTGTTCCCATGGCAATAGGTATGTAAATTATAGTGCAGTATTTGAGATTTTTAAAAATCTATGTCACTTAATCCACCTGTTTACAGAACTCTTCAATCTAGCAACTTTAAAGGAATCGTATGATAGTCTTTAGATGACAGATCCTTGAAAAGAAACCTTCCCCTGTGTGGAAGCTGCAGGAGGGGCACTTTGAAAATAGACTATTGGGCATTGTAGCTTCTGGTGGGCTGGTGCAAGAGGCTTTTGTCTGGCAGTGCTGCTCTGAGCGCTACACCAAAGAAGCGCTAACAAGGAAAGTTGGCTGTGATGAAAAGGGCAAGAATTTGAAGAAGAGCCAAGGCTTGGTGTTGCAGTTCGTAGAAAAGTTCTTGGCAGTAGCAGCAGGGTTTTTCCTCCTAAGGAGATGCATCCAGTGTAATCATTTTTGGAAGTGTCTTTATTTGTAAAGCTTGTGATTTTGCACTTACCTCTCTTGGAGAGCACTATATTCTTTTTTTTGCATTACGCTGGATAAATTGTTGAGAGAGGACTGCCGCCTACAATCTCATTGTAGGACCTCACTTTGTGCACTTAAATCTCTACTGTGTGTTATATAAAACAGTGAACTTTAGAGGCTTAGCCTACCTGCAGGACCCTGTGGTGGCTTGCTTTCACTCGGACCTTGGCAGGGTTCCTGGCCTGCTCCAAAGCGCTGTGAATTGGGAGTCTGAGTAGAAATCTCAATGAACTTGATGGAGCTCTGACCACACACAGCGGCTGTGTGGTGGGCACGGCGCTGGGCAGCTGGGAGGGCACCCGTCTCCGTCACACATGTGCACCTCTGCGTGGCAGCATTTCCCATCTCATTATATGTGATGTCCTCTTCTGGGGGAATTTTCAAACAATTTAATTCTGAGAAAATCCTTACTAGCATGGTCTGCTGAAGAGGTATGAGAAGGTATGATGTCTTGAGTCTTGATACCTCTTCTGAGGCTGGTAAATAGGATTACCATTTACAGTCTGAGGTTTCAAGTATAAAGCTGAGGAAATAATTTAATAAATATCTTGTCAATTAGCTTTATTAGAGTATTTTAGAAGTGGTTTGTTGAAGTGCAGTTGCCTGTGACAGCCTTGTGAAGAGCGTGGTTGCAGTAAGCGCATTAACAAGTGGGAGCTGGAGGCGACACAGGGCTATGAAAGGAGTCAGTGTTGTGATATGTGCTTCTAAGTTATTTGCAGCTCTGGTTTGCTGTTTGCTGTCATCAGCAGTGGAAGACAGGAACAGCAAGATTTTGAAGTTCCCAGGTTGCTTTAATATTCAGTATTAAGTGGCTGCAAAATTCAGGTTGCCGTGGATAACGCGGCTAAATATTGCCAGCTGTTGTCAGGAAAATTCTTTTTCCCCTTTTTTCCAGTGTTTTATTCTGTAAGTTAAATTCTGTTTTTAAGGTACAAGTATTCTTTAGAAGTTACACAACTGGACTTCAAACGAGTGAATTAAATTGTGCATCACACTTTGTTATTTAGTGTGACATCACTGCAACAGTGTGAGAAAACAAGCAGACCTAGCTTAGTGTGAGGCATGTGAAAGAGACAAGTTGTCAGTCATTTTGCTGATTATCTGTTCTTCCCTTTGGCTGGAGAAATCAGTGCCCAGCTCTCACCTTTGAGGAATGCTAAAGAATATCTCATTCCTTAAACTGATTGTGAGCAAATTAGTATTTATAGCTGTTAGACCTAAGGTCTTTGTATCATACAAACTGCCAAAGGCCACCCAAGCTTTTCTATCCTGTTCTAATTCTTCTTCATTTCAGTTAGTAGCAGGGAGTTTGGAGGACCACATATGGTCACTGGTACCAACCCGTCTGTTTTGAGCTCTGCTTGGGGTTTACAGTATACAGCCGGGACCATTTCTATGGCTCTACTCTCCTTCTGATCTTTAAAAGCTGGCACAAGGAGGAGGTCAGCCTCATAAATTTTCTGCCTGTGCCATCGTCTTCTACATTCACAAGCATGTATTTCAGGTCTAGGTTCTCAAATGATTTCACTAGTAGAATATGAGCCAAATCTCAAGTGTAACCGAGTAGCCACTGTTTCATGGAGGAGGTTGCTGTCAGGTCCTTCGAAGTCATCAAGCCTGGTCTCCCTGCAGCCAAAGGAATGTTGGTACTACCTGATTAGTCCAGAGAGTCCAAATATTGCCACAGTCATAAAATATTACAGGCTCGGAACATAGAGGACTAAAAGCTACATATTATAATGTGCCAAGTGGGGAGAAAACCAACCCCAAAGCATGTGATATCAGAGGAATTGC